GAAGGCCGTTTCTCCTACTATAATACTCTCACTCTCTTTCTCTCTTTTACACGTACTACTCGAAAACTCTGACTGGTCAAAAAGGCCAATTTAGAATTCTATCTTTTGTTAGTTTTTTTTTTTTTTTAATTCTGTGAAAACTCGAAAGCAATGCCGCCCAATGTTTCATTCAATGAACTCATAAATCAAAAATTCCAAATATCCGATCTAATTCATTTTTAATCCCTGTAATATTAATAACAAAAAATGTAGTTTTTAATATTATTTTTTTTTTTTTAACTTTTACTAAAATATATTTGAATTTATATATATATATATATATATATTTTCTTTTTCTTCATTCATTCTCAAAGAATTTTTTGTCAACTATGTTTAATGAGCAACTTCATTTTTGATTTTGTTGTATTTTTGTTCTCGTTAAAATGACTTATTAGTGTATGTGTATGTTGACACTTGATTATTCAATTTAAATAAATCAATAACATTTGTAATTATTTAATAGTTCAAGAGTGTACGTACAGAGATAAATAAAAGTCATTGTCGAAATAATATTTGTTGAAATAGGAGCAACAGGATGATTATTTTGTACCATGTGGATGTAGAGAAACCTCCCCCACGTGTGAAGCTTAAATCCAGCTTTTGGGATTAAGTTTAAAGCGAGTTTGTGCTCATTGTCAAAGAAAGAAGGCACAATCGTATAAGCGTGAGATACAACTGGAGAAACATATGTTTAAATGATAATAACATTCCTAAGTATAATATTCTTTAACCATGCCAATCCAGAGATTACTTCTCAACATCGCTTTATATTGTACCTATGATTTGTATAATTTATTTAACATGTATTACCAATAGTATAACGTTAAATTTTCTATTCAGGTCTTGTACACCATCAGTGATACACGCTGACATATTTAATTAATGCGTTAAAACTTGAAATTGCTTGGAAAAAAAAAATCAAACAAAGATGGAACTCAGTGTGGACGGTATCAGTGAAGTTAGTTAGTTAGTGTCTGTAATCTGTAAAGAAAAAACAAATGTTTATTATATAAATAATATATATATATATAATAAATTACAATTATATATAAATATATAAACTTTTGGCTTTGTATATATAAATTATTAATTATTATATATAAAATATATATTATATTATTATAGTATATATAATATTATAATATTAATATAGTATAGTATTATAATATATAATATTATTAATATTATATTATATTATATATAAATATTATATTTTATATATAATTGTGTGTGTGTGTGTGTGTGTGTGTGTGTGTGTATGTGATTAATTATTTTATATAAATATTTGATTTGAAACTTTTGGGACAATCTAATACGTTACAGAAAAATATTCATTTAGAGTGATAAATATAATAAAAGATTATTTAACATAAAGATATTAAAGTAAAAAAAATCAATAGAAAAAGTTAACTTCTATAACAATTTCAGTCTCATACCACCAAAAGGAAACATAAAAAGTCGTAGAATCACGAAATGAATTCTTGAAGCTGCATTACCTCTTACAATTAATTATTCCAAGTTGCACGAAGTTCGTACCACGATGGAAGTGAAGTTTCGAAAGCGACTCGGACGTATTCTCCGCACAAAAGTGTATCTTACGAGGAATTACATCTTCCTTCTCGGTATTCCCTTTTCTCTCCTCTTACTTTTCTTCCTTTATCCTTTCCTCTTTACCTAGCCCTATCTCGCTGAGAAAAAAATTTTTAAAAATTAAAAAAAAAATGAAAACAACTCCGATATTCTTTGTTCAGTTGTAATCAGTGCTTCTGCAAAAGTCTAATGTTCGTAAATTATTTCCAATTAAATTCAAATAGAAATGTCAGACATGTTCTGTTGGGTTGAATGTTATTGTTACATTGTCAAGTTTTTTCTTGTAAAATATCTTTGTTACATTTTCTATTAAACGACGACGACGACAAGGAGGAGAAGCTGTGTAAGAACCCAACGAATTTACCGAAGGGAGTACGAACTTCTTATCACTTGTTTTACAAAATGGAAGCTCGCTAAGGGAGTGAATGGTAGGGGATATGTAAAAGACAGATAAAAGGCAATAGACAAATAGATAGAAAGAAAGAGAGAGAGAGAGAGAGAGAAAGGAATGAGAATGGGAGAAAGCTTGTGCTTCGCTGCCAAATTAAATTACTTTATCTCCATATCTCGGTAACACAGAACTATTTAATTACTTTTCGCTCGTTTCTACGAACTCAAACGTACAACAAAAGCCTTGCTTTTCCATTGGGCACTTTTACAGAATTTCCATTTAATACGCGTGTATATAATTCTTGAAGATTCTTTTTACATGGTCTCACATTTAAATGTGTAGAGACTATTTTTTTATTTTTTTTTTATTTTTTTTTTTAAATAATATCCATCTTAATGAACCTTCTTGTATAATATTTTTCTAATATTTTATATCCGCTATCTATTTTATATATTATTATTTATCTAATATTTTATATATTATAATATATATATATTATATTTTATCATGATATTATTTTATTTTAATATATTATATTATTATTTAATATATATTTTGTTTTATTATATATTATTTTATATATTATAATATTATTATTATTTTATTTTAATATTTGTAAAAAGACAAAACATGATGAGATGTAAAACGTTGTAAAGAAAAAAGAAAAAGTTACGATTTTTGATTTAACCTATTGTTATGTATTATCTTAACGAGATACAGATGTAAAATTAGATTAAAAAAAAAAAAAAACAAAAAAAGATTAGAAAGAAAATGACACGAAGTGAATAAGCGAAAAGAAAAGAATGGATAAAGAAAGAGAGAGCAAAAGAAAACTTGAAGAAGTAAGGTCCCTTTATTTGGAAGGACCGTAATCTTTCTTACTGGTCGCGTTTCATGGTACTTCCGTTCATCTTATCGTAAATACTTTCCTCATGTATCGAAGGAATAGAAACGTTGAGAGAAAGTATCACTCGTAAAGAAATAAAGGGGAAACTTGTTGTATCGTCGTGGGATAAGAAAATAGAAAAAATATAATACACGACTCGAGGGAACTACACTTTTCTAAGAAGATCCTACGAATAAGCCGCTTGAAAATTCAATTCTCTTTTATTTCTTTCTCTTTTTGTCTTTATTTCTCTCTCTCTCTCTCTCTCTTTCTTTCTTTCTTTATCTTTTTCATTCTCATTCTCTCGTTTTGAAGGTTTGCAAACTTTTCGTTAAATTGAAAGAAAAGGTAAATATACAAAAGATCCATTTGAAAGTACTTAAGGAAACAAACAATGATGAATAAAATGTTGATGAAATGTATTTTTCTTAGATAGTTCAATTCTTTAGATATTTTTATCGATAACCTTGAAATATCAAAAAATTATTCAGACACATGGGTATGGGATATATCTAACAAAAGCAAGGATATATACGACCTACTTTGTGAATAATGATCTCCTAATGCCAAAGTATACACCCTAATCCTCTTCTTCTCGTGCATGTATTTTCTCGGAGAAAATTCCCAAGAGTTTAAATTTCGCGAGAAAACATTTCGTACCTTATTACAAGGAAGTCCTTGAGGGACTTGTGCCACGACACATAGAATTTCCCGTTTACAAAGCTCCAATTCTCTTAGGACGCAATTGAAAGGAAGAAAATTAGTTAACAAAAGAATTTGAGTACCACGTCTACTAGAGCTTTCCACTTTGAAAATCAAGATAAATTGGGACAAAATTTTGTGTAATTATTTGATATATTATTATTATTATTATTATTATTATTATTATTCTTAATGATTAAACGATTATTATATTATTTGTAAAAACAAAGAAGAAAAACAATTTACAAAATACCAAAATTAGACTTATGTAATTATTTGAAGTATTTTATTCGTTTGACGAAAAGGTATAAGTACAAAAAAATATATATAAGATAAATATATTATATTAATTATATAAATAATTATTATAATATTTATATATATATATATTTCTAGTATAGTATATGCTAGTATAACAATATAATATATAAATATATAATATATATAATATAAATAGTATATTATTTAAATACTTAAAATTATAATTTTAAATATATATATTATATAATTATATATAAATATTATAATATAATTTAAATATATATATTTATATTTATAATTACATATAAAATTAAAATTACATATATAATACTATAATAAATAACTATTTAATATAATTATTATTATATGTAATATATTTATATAATTATTATATTATACATAATATATTATATTATATATTATATGATGTAATATACAAGATAAAAATAGCTTGAAAATAAGAAATTTTCTTTTCTTTATATATATATATATTACTCTTTTTCGTGTTAAAGAACATTATCCCTAAAATTGTTCAGTGTTTCATAAAAATTGAAAAAAAAAAGATATATTTGTAGAATAATAACTTTAAATGACTTCAACATTATACTTACATATATATATATATATATATATATATATATATGAATACATACTCTTATATATTATAAATTGTGTTATCATGGAATTCTGCTTGAATGATCACGACAATCGACAATACCCCTTTATTGAATTCTTCGAGAAGGTAAAAAGGAGATATAGAAAGATATTTTCTGTAAAATAGTCTAGTTTAAAGGGGAAAAAAATAAGGGAACTGTGTGAGAGAGTTCTTTTATAATAGTGAACAGATTATAAGACTCCCTCTTATCGGTTATCGTTGTTGGTGTACGACAAAGAACGTGTGAGGAAAGGAAGAAGAAAAGAAAGAGATATAAAGATAAAGTGTGAGATAGAAAATAAAGGAAGGAATAAGGGATAGTTCAGTGGTCCAGGTATAGTTCGTTAGCGGTTCGCAAGAGTATCCGCGTAATTTCCCTTCCTAATCCCTTAAACTCAATCGCCAATGAATACTAAATACACTCAATTAAAACTCCACGGCAGTGAAACTTTGGAGATTGGTTGAAAGTGACTCACCGTTCTCGTTCTCGTTGACTACGACGTTCTCTCTATCTTCAGAATTAAGGAGATCGTCTGAAACAGATGAAGATTATCACTATTAGAAAACAACCTTTTTGATATTACTCTCTCTCTCTCTCTCTCTCTCTCTCTCTCTCTCTTTCTATCTCTGCAAGTTATAACTTCATTCCCTATAACGAAATAAAATTCCTTATATTTAATAATCTTTTTGATTTCTTATTAATTTAACGAATTATTTTTACAAATGATACTTTGTTTTACTAACTTTATCTATTATCATTCTAAAATGACAAACATATCCAATTATCCCAGTATTTTTTACTATTTATTTTTACATATAAACTACGTTGCACACGTATAAATTTAAAATAATAAATTAACAAAGTATAATATTCATGTAGGTTTAATTTTATTTCATTTAATTTTATTTCTTCGATTTTTCGAAAAGAAATAAAAATATATCTATATATATATAGTAGTATATAATATAAATTTTATTTATAATTTATATAATAATTTAATTTAATATATATTATAATTTAAGTTCATAATTTTCATTTAATATATATATAATTTAATTTATATAAATATTTAATAAATAATATCATATAAATTGTATATATATATATACTGTATATAAAATTATCACTCCCTAAAATATACACCCCCACAAAAGGAAACTTTACGTTTTGACATAAAAATATTAAAAACAAAACAAGAAACATGTTCTGTCACATTAGGTGCAATTAATTTCATAGAAATGTCAGCCACCGAAAGACATTTTTATTATGCAAATATCAAAGAATGAATTGGCTGGTTAATGCAGGGAGTAAATTTTATGCGCCATCAACGTGGATCCTAAATAAATATCAGGATATCCGAAAGTACCTGCCGTAGGATACTCCACGTAATCTTCTACCTCTCGTTCCTTGCTAGGCTACGTAACACACATCGACATACACACATACACACACACACACACATGTATATATTGTATTTGCTGTTAATATTTGCGCGCGTTTCTCTCTGTACTCGTATAGAAGTATATATGTGTATATTAACGTACGCGTTCGTGCAACTCTTCGTTACAATCAACGTGCCCTGACGCTTTAACCACATCTCGTGACGAGAGTGGCTAATAACGTGACATCAACGACCATCCAACGAAAGTTTTCAGTCCCAGCTTTAAGGGTTTCAATGTTGCAATCTTTCTGTCACGTTTTTCGCAATACAAAATTTCGCATTCGTTTTCAACATTTAAATATTTAACGTTAAATTTGTTTTTTTTTGATCATTTAGAATATTTCATTATGCATACTTGCAGATATAAAACATTGTCTATCATTTTTTTGTAATTTTCTTCTTTTAAATGCAAAATTTCCGATAGTTCATATGAAATACGTTATTAACAATGTTTCATGTAAAATATTTAAATAAAAGGATATATTGAAGATGAAAAATTATTGTAAAAATTAGAATTGAAATTGTACTGAAAGATACGAGTTTCGTTATGGGTTGAGATTTTACGTATTACACGTGAAGGGTTGAAAATAAGAAAAATATTTGAAAAATAAACGAGCATAGTTATTTTTTTAATTTTATCAATAATTCATTATTAAATTCTATGTTTACCTTGTAGATGAGAATTTTTAAATAAAAATCCCACAAAAATGTGAGAGAGAAAAAAAAAAAAAAAAAAAGAGAAATATCTTATCTATTAATGTATACTTTGTATAAGATAGTTGAGACTGAATAAATTTAAAGTCAAATTTAACGATCAATAAAGCGTTAGCTCAATGACCTAATTATTAAGTTATTGACCAAGAAGTTATATTACGAGTTACATAGTACTGCTGTGTAAAACGTTCAGTACCTATCCTTATTTGATCATCTTGGGATCCATAATTTGTACACTCCCAAGCGTTCTATCTTATAATTAGATCATCAAAAAGATATCAAACGTTGACATAATTCGACTTCGAATCAGTCTTAACTTCCTATTAAATGTCATATCCCCAAGTACGTACATTTTATTTAAAAAAAAAAACATCTTGTTTTAATAAAATAAAAATTTAAAAAAACTATTTCTCTATATTTATGATTAAATTTTTTTTAATAGGGATACTATAATATAAATATAAATATAAATATAAATATAAATATAAATATAAATATAAATATAAATATAAATATAAATATAAATATAAATATAAATATAAATATAAATA